TGTATGGGGACAGCTAGGAGGCCCCACACCAGGGACCCCAGGTTCCACTCTGCCCTCACCCTGACCCCTCTGCTGAGGTCCCTGCTCCCTCCCCTTGAGGATCTGAAACTCACTGCAGGCTGTCAGGAACAGAGAGAAAAGATAACCTCCATGATAAGCACTCAGACAAGAACTGATGAGATAACCCTTCTCTGGCTACATGGTTTCAATAGAGCCTGATTCCAGGTACCCATAAGCAGCTGTTCACACGTGCAAAGGAAGAGGGGAGCAAATACTGAAGTAGGAGAGCCAGGTCCCCAGAGAGATCAGACCAAATTCAGCAGGGCCAAAGGACAAAGCCTTGCCCAGAAGGGCCGACAGCTCTGCCCAGGGTCGGGGCCTGCAGCTGGAAATAGGCTGAGGATGTCATGGGTGGTTCACCACCGGGAAGATGATAGGGACCCGGCCACACCAACAGGAATCACGGAGTAGGGAAATGACAAAGCCCTCAGCTGTCTGTGGGGCAGTCAGCCCTGAGTATCTGGTGCAGCTGTAGGCACCACATTCTGGAAGATTTGCAGAGAACCAGTGTCTCCCCCAAAGATTATTGTGTTGTCCTAGGAGGATGAGCTGGAGTTGCAGGAATTGTCTGGCCCAGATAAAAGACAATTTTGAGGAATCAACAGGAAAACTGTCTTCAAATATTTGAGAGACCTCTGAGTGGAAGGCAGCTGAGACTCATGTGCCCAACGAAAAGCAGAGCAGCCCCTGCCCAGTAATACCACGGCCTCGCCGGGGTCCTGCTGCACTCCAGCCACACTCAGTCACATCCCAGTTACCAGGTGCAGCCCCCAGACTGTGGAAGTCCTTACACACCTTTGGTCCCCGTGTCCCAAACTTGGGCTGGCTGGATGTGAGAGTGAGGGCTGGGGTTTGGGGTCAGGAAGCCCCAAGGTCCAGATCCAGCCATGCATTTTGCACTTTTCCATATGTCACCCTGCACCAAGTCACAGCCTCTCCCAGGCTGGATTTCCTTGTCTCAAACCGGAGGTGTTGATCCCTGCCCAAGAGGGTTGTAGCGAGCATTACTCGTAAGTCAGCAAATGCTTATGGAGCACTGTGCCTGGCAGGCAATCACCCTCTTGCGCTGGTGCTCTGGGGATTAAGGAGCAACCGGGAGAGGCCCAGCACCTCGTACATGTTCAGTCAGTGCTGCTGGTGACTGCCAGGACCCGTCCCTGGCCACCTCTGATCTCGGCGCTGAGGGGCTATAGGACTCTGATATCTGGGAACTGTTGCACCCTGGCCAGATGGGGGATCAAGGGCTCAGAGAACACCTGATCTGAATCTTGGTTGTCTGTGGAGGCACAGTTTCCTTCAGTCAACAGATCTCAGATAACGTGAATAAGCTGGGTATAGCCGATTCAGCACTCTCTGCCTGGTGTGCACAGCCAACCAGTGGGGCTACATGGCACCCAGCACCTCCCAGAGAGCCCAGACCAGGATCAGTGTGAGGAATCAACAGGCTGACCCACATGAAGGGCAGGTGCAAGGTAGCTGAGTATGCTATGGAACCATAATCCCAGCTCTCATGCATAGCTGTGTGACTTTGAGTGAGCCCCTTAGCCTCTCTGTGCCTTGGTTTCATTACCTAAATAAAAAGATTTACTCTGAAGAGTGTGGTTCTCAATGAGATATCACCTCACACCAGTTAGGATGGCCAATATCCAAAAGACAAGAAACAACAAATGCTGGTGAGGATGTGGAGAAAGGGGAATCCTCCTACACTGTTGGTGGGAATGTAAATTGGTTCAACCATTGTGGAAAGCAATAAGGAGGTTCCCAAAAACTAAAAATAGAAATACCATTTGGCCCAGTAATTCTACTCCTAGGAATTTACCTGAAGAAAACAAGATCTCTGATTCAAAATGACATATGTATCCCTCAGTTTACTGCTGTACTATTTACAAAAGCCAAGATATGGAAGTAACCTAAGTGTCCATCAGTAGATGAATGGATAAAGAAGATGTGGTACATATATACAATGGAGTACTATTCAGCCATAAGAAGAAAAGAAATCCTACCATTTGCAACAACATGGATGGAGCTAGAAGGTGTTATGCTCAATGAAATAAGCCAGGTGAAGAAAGACAAATATCAAATGATTTCACTCATTTGTGGAGTATAACAACAAAGCAAAACTGAAGGAACAAAATAGCAGGAGACTCACAGACTCCAAGAAGGGACTAGCAGTTACCAAAGGGAAGGGGTTGGGGAGGGTGGATGGGGAGGGAGAAGGGGATTAAGAGGCACTATAATTCACAATCACTGTATAAGTAGGTCACAGGGACAGTAGTACAGCACAGAGAAGACAATGACTCTATACCATCTCACTATGCTGATAGACAGTGACTGCAGTAGAGGGGATGGCAACTTGACAATATGGGTGAATGTTGAAACTACTGTGTTGTTTATGTGAAACCATCAGGCGATTATCAGTGATACTTCAGTAAAAAAAAGAGTTGTCATTCTGCAAACAGCTTGGTGTGGATCCCATTTCCACCACTTATTTGTTGTGTGACCTTTACAAGTTGTCCCAGCCTCTCTGTGCCTCAGTTTCTTTATCTGCAAAATGGGAGTCATGACAACAGCACCTGCCTCACAAGGCTGCTGTGAGGATTAAATGGGTTTGTACATCTACAGCTCTGGAAGGACTACCTGGCCCAGGAATTGCTTGCTGCCAGGTTTTAGGCTGAGTTCGTCCACAGCTTACTCTGAGACAAGGAAAATGACCCCAGCAAGCCCCTATAAGGAGTGGGAAACTGAGGCAAGGACAGGGAAGGCATGAAAAGAGGGTGCACGACGAGGGTGCCTTCATAGACCTCTGGGAGCCTCTGGGGGACGCTAGAGATCTCCTTTCAGCATCTGCCCTGACAGGGGGAGGACAAGGAGGCTGGATGGTCTCTGGAGAGAGTAAAGGAGTCCCATTGGTGACTCCACACCAGGCTTGTCTGAAAAAATCAGAAGTCTCCCCTGGGCCCCTGCACACCATTTGTGATGACAAACTGAGCTCAGGAGGAAGTGGAGGAGTCTGGGTCCGAGTTCGCTTGATGCCTCGGTTGACTGTCACCACACTGACTGGAGGGATGTCTGTAAAACATGCCCCCCTCACACCCCCTCAGGGTGGCGACAGAAGCACTTTAAGCAGCGCAGGAAACAAGCTAGTCAGCATATGACAGGGATCCCTCCTGCTGAGGACAGGGGCTCAGGAAGCCCAGGGACCTGAGCAGGGCCACAGCAGTGGGGCACAGAAGTCTCCAGCAGCCCTGGGAATATAACCCTTGCCGGGCTTGTCTCCAAATGGCAGGCCACTGAGGCGTCTGGGCTGGAGCAGGGAATTTAGGGGGCCGAGGCTTCAGGGCTGGGAGAGCTGGGTGATAAGGGGTCCGAACTGTACAGCTGGGCAGGGGAGCTGAGACCCTGTGGGGCCTTCCTCGGCCTGGGAACCTGAAGCCACTAAGCCGGCCGACAGAGCCTTGGAGAGGAGCCAGGAAAGCAGGGACTGACCCGTGCCTACAGCCGAGGGGTGCGCCTATTTCTGATGACCTGGAGGGACCAAGGAGAAGCTATGCCCTCACCTTACCCTTTGGGAGGTGATTACAACAGGCTGAACTCATCAGGATGCATTTTGGATGCTCTGTGGCAGCAGCCGAGAGGCGACAGGTGTTAAGGGATTCTCTGTCCACTCTTCCACCCTCCGGGAGCCTTGGTCTGGGTTTTCTCCTCTCTCCAGGGTCAGCAGCCAACACTCCCTGGGCCCCATCTGACCCTCTTCACTCCTGCTCCAGAGTCGGCACAGTGACTCAGCAGGGGGCGCTGTGCTCAGCACTGAGGCCCCTGGATATCTGCCCTGGCCTGCCTTCTCTGCCTACTGAGCATTCCTGGGCAGCTTCCCAGGCTCTCACAGCCCCTCAGCTGGATAAACAACGGTTTCTAAAAGAAGCCACCAGGACAGCCGGACAGGGGTCCTAGGATCCTTGGGGACTGTCCCCTCCTGAATTATTCAGAAAAGCCTGGTACGATAGTCACCTTGGGACTCCTTTGCTTTCTACCGTGACCATGCCAGCCCTCTCTCCCTGCCTGCCCCCTGCCTCGCCCCCAGCCGCCACCACCACCACCACCACAGTTCTAAAAATAACACTGGGAAAGTTAGACAACTTCCAAGGTGCCCCTCCCTAAGAGTCATGGTGTGCGTGAGCCTAAGCTCCACCTTGGGTCTCACACAAAGGAGGGGGGAAGAGTTCACACACTGGGTCAAGGAACGCCGTCTTGGCTGAAAGGGAGCTCAGAGACAATGCAATTCGTTTCTAGAACAGGGGCAGAGGGGGACCTGCAGGGTGTGCAGTGTGGCTGGGGGCCCCGGTGTGCCACAGGGCAAAGGTGGTGCGTCCTACCAGGTATTTTCACTTCACGCATAAATGTGGAAAAGGGAGAGTCATCGATGTGATACTAACGGTGGGATGGGAGATTAGAAAGCAAGGGTTACATTTAACATGTAACTCAAAATTTAAGAGATCTCCCACCTCCGCGATCTACTCTGGCAGTAGCAGTAGTCCGACAGGATCATTTTAGAAACGCTAAGCTAGTACAAGTCACCCACATTACAAAAGAGACAGCCGACCCAAAGAGGGTGGGACCCCTGTCCAATTGCAAGGCGTGAGACAGCGGCAAGCTTCCATCCAGCCTTGCCTATGGGCTCCCCGGACCTTTTTCCAACCCTCTTTTCTCCCAGAAAAGGCCCCCCCTTCCCATCTCTGCCTGCATGCCCTCTTTCCTCCCGGGGAGACCGTTTGCAGGAGAGATAAACGCAAATCGCAAGCTAGGACTAGCTCGAGCGTAAACTGAACGAGCCAGAGCACTTTGCGCCTGCGCCAGGAAGCCCAGCCCGCTCGGGCTGTCGACCCCGCCTCTCCGCCCGTCACGAACATGGCCGACCCGGCACCAGCCCTCCTGCTACGCACTTCTGACGTCATAGGACAGCGTCGGTGGACTCCGAGGCGGCTGCGGAGGCTACACGTGGGTTGGGATCTGGAAATTTTCAGACCAGGCTATGGATACACCGCTGAGGCGCAGCCGGCGGCTGGAACGCCTAAAGCCTGAATCCCCCGAGAGCCCCACCTCAGTGTCGCGGGCCAATCTGGCCCTTGTGGAGCTCGAGTCAAATACAGAAGAAACGAGGGAACCCGCGTCTCCTTGGAGTGTGAGGCAACCCGGCCTAGAGTTCCCCCGACGCCAAGCAGACGCAGGCCCCGGATCACCTAGTCTGCTGCAGGGTGCAGGCTTGGGGTCCCCCAGAAGGGAGCCAGAGCCGGGCCCAGGGTACCCCCAGCTTCAGCAATATTCAGACCAGGAGTCTTCCCGAAGACAGCCGGAGTGGAGTCCAGAGTCCCCCCGGTGTCAGCCAAAGCCGTGTGGGGAGTCACCAAAGGTCTCCCAGAGCCGAATAGAACAGGACTCGGAGTTGGCGCAGAGTGAGGAGCTGGCCCCGGGGTCCCCTCAACATCAGCTGCAGCCGGGCCCCGGATCCCCAGAGCCTTGCGCCGGTCAGCAAGCACCGGGTCCGGAGCCGTCGCGGCCACTACAGGAGTTGACACCTCAGCCACCCGACTCCCCTCAGAGTCAGCAGGAGCCAAGCAAACCACCTCCGGCCGGGGAAACGGTGAAAAGCGGCTTCGGAGCAAAGAAGAAAGAAAGTTCTTCAGCCCAGGCCCCTGCGTCCAAGAAGTTGAAGGAGGAGGTTCCTGAAATCCCGAAGGGAAAGCCCAAGTCGGGCCGGGTGTGGAAGGACCGCTCCAAGAAGAGGTAAAGGGTACAGCCGGGCAGGGCTGGGGTTCCCTGTGGTGCGGGGCGCCTGGGCAACCTGGAGACAGCCGCTGGGTGGGCTAGAGCTCACATGAGTGGGAGTCTCACACCAACAGCTAATTATGGTCAGAATGGTAAAATGCCCTGGGATCCCAGGGAGGCTGAGACCAAACCCTTCAAGGTTATTCATGCGTCGCTTTCCCTCTCCAGTCCCTGTGAACCTCTCCTACAGCACCACGTTTGTGTATTCATTCAGCAGGCATTATTCCTCTGTCTGAGGCAGAGGCAAGTAAACCAGCCATTACTTGATAAGAAGCAGCAAGGTCTTAACCCCACTATTATCTGTTACTTATTTTCCATCATAGTGGAAAGTATTACCAAGCACTGACTATACAGGGATCCCTTGGTGTGCCGCCTCCCTTCTCTTCAGGGTAGTGTTTATGGAGCACGCCTACAGCGCTGTGCTAAGTGGTGCCCCAGCTGTGTCTCCAGTAATCCACCCTCCTGGGGTGGGAACCGTTCTCGTCTCCATTTAGCGTGGAATGTGCTGAGACTCAAAGAGGCCACCTTGCTCGTCACACAGGTGGTAAGTGGTGGATTCAGGCATTGGAGCCCAGGCCTCTCTTCCTTCCATCTCCAAGTAAAACCAGTGACCTTGAACTGCCCTGCCTCAGTACTTTAACCACCAGCTATTTAATTGAAACTGATTAAAATTAAGTGAAGTTAAAACTTAAGTTCCTTAGTCACACCAGCCACATTTCAGGTGCACAACAGTCAGTGTGCCTAATGGCTGCTTTACTGGACAGTGTAAATAGCATTTCCACTGTTACTGAAGGTTCTGCTTGGCAGAAAGATGCAGCATTGTGTCCTATGGCTCTGTGTGTGGCCAGGTTCCCACTGCCTTGCCTCTTTGGGTTTCCTGTATCTCAGTTTGGGGTATGGAGGAAGTCCATGCTTCAGCCCAGGTCTGCGCTTAGAAGGCCAGGTCTTCATCAGCAGGCCCTTGCGGCGGCATAGAGCCGGGAGAGGAGCAGTGAGGGGTGTGCTGGGTCACAAGCAAGCAGAGGGTGGGGAGGAGGACAAAACCAGGCTGCAGATGGACAGGCCTGGGGTTCAGGTCCAGGCTTTGTGGGCCAAACTCCCATGTGAGCAAGAAGGGGAGGAGAAAGCCTCAGAGAATGGTATTAACCCTTCCCCATGGATGGGAGTGGGCTTTGCCCCACGTACATCATAGCTTATGAGGCTGGGGCAGGACTGCTGACCTGTGTAATCGTTTGGGGCACCATATAATGGACGTGGATGAACAGGGGCTCTTTGGGAAGTTAGGAAGTCAGTGGGGGAGGCAAAAAGGCCACTCTGAGAGGGTGTGTCAAGGCGAAAAGGCCTGTGGTTCACCCAGACAGGCTTCAAATAGTTCAAGGAGGCCAAGGGAGAGCATGGTTTCATGAGTGTCCACGTTCTCCTCACCAGCCTCAGCTGTTCTCAACATTTTGCTAGTCTAGCTAGCTTCATCTTGCCCCTTGACATTTTTTTCTTATTTTTTGTTTTTCCTGGAATATTTTACAGCCTACTTACATGTTATTTACACATATCCCAGATACATCATTCCCCTCATGCATCCTTGCGGTATGCACTCTTACAGAGATATCTTGTTTCTCCAGTGACTGTAATGTCACTCTCAAACTGATATCAGGAGCTTGCCCGATATCCTCTAAAGCCACTCCACTGTAATGTTCGTCCTACTGGGGACGGAGATTCTGAATCATTACCAAGAACAGAGAGCTGTAACCATTCGAGCTGTTCTAAAATAAAAAGGGCCCTGGAGGAAATGAGCCCCATCTCCAGAAGCATTAATGCCCAGGCAAACTTCGCTGGGAAAATGGAGGCCTCGAATGATTATTTAACCTCTCTGAGCCTTAGTGAGCTCCTCCATAAAAATGAAGAGAACAAGAGTACCCTGCTCGGAGGCACAAACCAGGGCTTATAAAGTGGCAGCCAGCATGACGGGGTCCCATTCTTGCCCCAGCAGACCTGTAGGGTCAGGTGCCCTGCAAGCAGAAAGGTGCTGGGGACTGGTACTCTAACTGGGTTCTGGGAAAGAAGACCCAGAGCCGGGAGCTGAGAGGAGAGAGCATGTTTGCACCCCACACACCCCACAAGCACCCACTGTCCCCCATCCAGGTTCTCCCAAATGGTTCAGGACAAGCCCCTGCGCACATCCTGGCAGCGGAAGATGAAGGACCGGCAGGAGAGGAAGCTGGCCAAGGACTTTGCCCGGCACCTGGAGGAGGAGAGGGAGAGGCTCCGGCAGGTGAGGGGCCGCCCAGCCGGGCTGAGGCGGGCGCTCATGGCGCTGAGCTGGGCTCCACTATGATAGGGCTGGGGCCGGGGGAAGCTCCTGTCTGGGCCCAGAGAGTGGCTGACTTGGCCAAGAGGCGTTCTCAAGCCTGACAGCCTGTGAGACGCAGGGAACCTGGCCAGTAGCAGAAGTTCAGCCTGGGACCCCAGGGTCAGGAGGCCTAGTGGGACATCTAGCGGCTCAAGGATGAGGAGCAGGCCTAGGACAGAGCCCCCAGTGGCCCTGCCCTCACTGGTGATAGGAGCATTCAGTGAGATAAGATTTGGGGCCCCTGCGCAGATGGGAGAGGCTTTCAGGTGGGAAAGCCTTATCGCTGGTATTGTCGCCATCATTCTCCAGGAAGGATAGTTACCGCACACTTCCCTCTGGTTCTTACCCTGATACTCACCCCAGAGCCCAAATGCCCAGCAGAGGTTCGTGCCCGCCTCTCTCAACTCCAGGAAGCCCCAGCAGACAGCATGCAGAGAAAGCAAGGTGGTAGCATTGGTCAGGGGCCACCCCACCAGGACCCAGTTATCACGGGGGTGTCACTTGCCTAGGGATCCCAGGGCACAGGAGGAGTCAGATACTTCAGCCTGGCTGCTGAGGGCGGGGCCTGGGCCAGTCACTGGGTCATCTGTCCCCTGCTTCAAGTTGCCCTGGCTTGGCTGGTGGCCGAGGCCCTGCAGACAGTATGACTGATGCCGTGCTGAGGCCTTATCTCACTTCCTGTGCAGTCCTGGCTCCCTCTTGGGTAAGACAGCCTTCTTGTCACTGTGCCCTCAGAAGTGCCCCTGCCCAGCCCAGGCTGTCCCCGACTCTTGGAGCCCAAGTCACTTCTCTTTTCTCCCGAGGGGCCCAGGACACCTCTGCTACCCTGAGTTGCCAAAGCCAAGAGAGGCCCTGACCAGGCAGCAGCCCCGCAGCCCACCTCCCTGCCCTGGCCCCAGCAGGCCCAGCCCTCAGCATAGCCAGAAAGCACTGGGCTCCCCATTCCCAAAACGGACTCCAGCTAGATTCATCTTCTAAGTGTTCAGTGGGCTGGGTACCATTCCAAGCACTACACATGTGTTCGTTCATGTCTTCCGCAGAACAATCTGATATAATCATCTTCGCTTCAAAGATGGGGGTTGAGGCCCAGAGAGGTTAACAGCTGGGCCTAAACAACTAAACAACCCATTTAGGAAGTAGCAGGGTCGGGACTCAAACCACGGGGAGCCTATTCTCTGCAGCCTCCACCCTCCCAGCCCGCCCAGCCTTGCATTCTAGGGGCACACGGGCTTTAGGGAAAGGGCAGGAGACCATGGATGGGCATGGGGGAAAGGGCCAGCCTGGCCACCCCCACCTGGCAGTCACTGAGGGAGTGTGCAGGGGGCCGTGGTCTGCAGTGCCTGGGTGTCCAGGTGGGGAGCCACCTGTGTCTTACCCCCCTGGTCCTCCCGTCTAAGCCCCTGCCCTCAGCTGCCTGACCAGGTGCCCACCTTCTCTGCTGGAGTCAGGAACTGCCCACCACAGTGGGCCTCTGGTCCCGTGGGCACAGGCATTGCCCCTTGCTGGCCCTCCGCCCACACACCACCAGCAACAACCTGGAGCCTGGATGAGAGGCCTTCCCCTCCCTGGGAATTCTGCCAGCTCGCGCTCCTCTGGGGCCTGAGAGAACGGGGCTTCCCCAGCTCCCAGACCCAAATCCCCTTCCCCTGTGTGGTCCAGGAGAAGAAACGGCACCGTGCCGAGAATCTCAAACGCCGCCTAGAGAATGAGCGCAAGGCAGAGGTCGTCCAGGTGGTGAGTGTTGCCCTGCTCAGGGGACCTGAACCGTGGCCCAGCGGGGCGTTGCATCCCAGCTGCCTCTGCACCCCTGCCTCACAGCCCCCGGCCTCCCACTGTGATCCCAGGCCCCTGATGGGTAGCCTCCCTCTCCCCAGGGAACAGAGCAGGGACTGCAGCCCCTCTAATGCTCCTTCTCACACCACCCCCAGATCCGAAACCCTGCCAAGCTCAAGCGGGCAAAGAAGAAGCAGCTTCGCTCCATTGAGAAGCGGGATACCCTGGCCCTGCTGCAGAAGCAGCCACCCCAGAGTCCAGCAGCCCAGATCTGAGCTCAGGACAGCCCAGAGGCCTTCTGTGGCCAAACACCATATCTGACACTGCAGGCCACTGGTTACACTCCGTGGCTCTAAAATAGGGGCCCCACCCCAGGCAGGACTCTGGGCTTTGGAGGGCTCTTGGGCAGCTGGCAGGTCCCAGAGGGAGCCTGCAACCTGGAGAGACTGGGGGAGGGAAGAGGCTCCGCAACCCCTCTCTCCTTCCCTCTCCTCCAAGTGCCTTCAAACCAAGAGTAAATTCTTCTGGTTCCTTAGAGAAGTGGCCACTGGAGGGTGACTCCCCAAAATGGGTGTTTTCTGTCTCAAGGTCCTGGGCCCAACCCCGGCCAGGAGGCTAGCAGTCAGCAATCAGTTCCCTCCACACCTTCCCAAAGGCCACTTTGGGTTCTCTGCACCCCGCTGACCCTGTCACCCAGCAAACCCAACTCCACTACACTTCTCAACACTGAAGATTAAGGTGGGGAGGTTGCAAGAAGCAAGGCTTCTCCCTAGCTCCCTCTTTCTGTACCAGACTGTGCAGAAGCCCCAAAGAGCTGATTAATTCATGCCTTCCATTCTATGAGAAAAATATTTATTTACACCTGCTGTGTACAGGCAAAATTCTAGGTACCAGGGAATACAGACCAAAGTCTCTGCCCTCAAGGAGCTTTCATTCTGGTGGAGAAAACAATAAACAAGTAAAATATATTGTGTGTCAGGTGGCAAAAAGTGCTGTGAGTAAAGCTGGGGAGGTGCAGGAAGGAGCAGGGGTGAGGTGCTAATGTGGCATCTGCTGTTGGGTTTGCTGGGCATCTGTTGGGCCGGGCCCTGTCCAGCACTGAGAGTAAACAGTCAGTGCAGGCTTCACAGACCCCAGCCTGGGGGTGGCTGGTACAAGGAACAGAGACCAAGATCTCAAGAGTTTCTCCTACTCTTCCACTGACCATCATCCACCAAACATTTTACCAACTCTGCACAGGGCCCTGGATGCAGCACTAACTACAGCAGTCCTCGTACTCAAGTCCATGGTGGGTACAGGAATAGACATGGTAGACTGGAAGTGCAATGACAGACGGCTACCAACTGGAAGTGACAGCTGCCCAGCCCCTGTGTGGTTGGGAGGTGGGGTTGCCAAGGTCTTAGGATTGGCAGCATTGCTCATAGGGCATCCCGTGGAACAGCATGGCTGCACAGGTGTCAGACCAGCTAGGAACTGCCGTGTGCTGTGGGCTCGGAGGCTGCCGTGCATATTCAAATACTAGACTGAAGACCCAGTAAAGGTGCATGTTGCACTTTGTTTAGCCCAGGTTTTCCAAACATTTGACCGTGGCCTTCCTTGCTTTTTCCACCTTATGAATATTTGGGGGTAATGCTGGGTCAGAAGGGTAGGGAGGGGGGCTCCTGTGCCGTTACTGTCTTAAGTAACTTAGGTATGCCAGGGGTATTCTTTCACTTACTAAGTAGTAATTTAGCGTGTAAGGTTTAATGGTTAACCTGCAGACTCTATACTTCGGGCAAGTTACCAAACCTCCCTGTGCCTGCCTTTGCTCAAAGGCAAAAACGGACTAATAGAACCTAACTCCCCCAGACTATGGGAACGGTGCCTGGCTCAGTAAGCATTGGCTAGATGACTAAAATGAAAAGATCAGATTGAAGCAGTCTTCCCAAACCTTCCCGGATCTCACTTTTCTATTCCAAAAATACATCACTGGCTTCTAGTATCGCCCTGCCCCCACCCCATCATCTGGTAAAATTAAGTTCCAGAGAAATGGGTCCTGTGTACCTTGGGGAGCTATTATGCCGATGTGGAAATTCTTAGGATTTTAACACGGTGTCACTCCACGTGTGGTGCGCGGGCCACAGCAGCTCAGATCTCCTGGGAGCTCAGGATTGCAGAATCTCGGCACCCTGCCTACCTGCCCACGCAGACCGCACTTTACCCGGATCCCTACGTGACTGGCACAGTTGTTTGGGAAGCACTCTTAACTCACTTGGAGTCTGCAAAAGGTTCTCTGAGTCACGCAGGGCACTTCACAATGCAGATTCCGGAGTCCTGACCCGAACAGACAAGGTAGCTACAGTTCAGTGCCAGGGCCCCCCGCGTCTGTGCTCTGCGCCGCTGCCCGGCCTGTGCCTCCCGGAGAAAGGCCCCAGCCCGGGCCGGGTGGTCCCGGGCCGCGCTCCTAGCCTGAGGTGGTGCCCAGCGCCGCGTTCAGAGGGCCCCTCTCGTCCTGGGAGCGCGCCCGGCTCTTCTGCGGGGACGCTGCGCGGACGCCTGGCAGCCAGCGGAGCAGGCGCGCAGGCCGGAGCCCGGGCGGGAGCCCGCGGCCGCTGCCGAGCGGCGCTGCCGCGGCCGGAGCGGTGCTGGAAGAGGCGCGGCGGCGGCGGCTGCCCGACCCGCCCAGCTCGCTGTCGTCCACCAGCACGGACTCCAGCACGCTGCGCAGCGAGCGCCGCAGCTTGTGCAGCACGTCGGGGCAGGTGAGCACGTAGAGCAGCGGGTTTACCACGCTGTTGAGGAAGGCCAGACTGGTGACCAGGGGCAGTCCGCGCCACGTGAGCGGCCGCAATGCCGCGTCCGCGTGCGCCCGCGCCTCCAGCAGGCTGAACACGTGGTAGGGGCCCCAGCAGAGCGCGAAGGCCACCACCACGGCCGCCACCAGGCGCACGAAGCGGTTGGGCCGCCGGCAGCCGCGGTGGCGCAGCTGCGTGCTCACAGCCGCGTGGCTCGAGGCGATGATGGCCAACGGCACGACGAAGGCCACCAGGAACTTGCTGACGGCCAGGGCCACGTGGCGTGCATTGCACGTGGCGTCGCGGTCGGGCCCGGGGTTCAGCAGCAGGACGTTGTAGTAGCACATGGTGCGCCCGTCCAGCCTCCGGATGGTGTCCCGGAACACGAAGTAGGGCACCGTGTTGAGCACAGCCAGGGCCCAGAGCACCAGGCAGACCCTGTGGGCCGCGGCCGCCGTGCGATGGTTCTGCGCCCACACGGGCCGCACCACCCGCAGGCAGCGGTCCAGGCTGATGGCACTGAGCAGGAAGCCGCTGGCGAACATGTTGAGGAAGAAGATGGAGGAGTGCAGCTTGCAGAAGGTGGTGCCCAGCTCCCACGAGTGGCCCACGGCCAGAAAGTAGGTGAAGAAGGGCAGCGAGGCGGTGGCCAGCAGGTCGGACAGCGCCAGGTGCAGCACCCAGGTGGTGACCACAGTCTGGCGCATGCGGCAGCCCACCACAAAGAGAATGAGCCCGTTCTCCAGAAGGCCCAGCAGCCCCGCCAGCCCGTGCAGCACTACCGACGCGTAGTCCATGTAGCGGACGCTGGAGTTCCGGTGGCTTTGCAGCTGGCGCATCTGCTCCAGCAGGGGGCAGAGCAGCGTCGTCGTGACGTTAGCCGACATGATGCGCTCTGCGGTGGAGAAGAGGCACAGAGGTGGGCAGCGCAGGGGCGGCAGGGGACCCGCCCAGGAGATGGAATGCTACCGATGGGGCCTCTGGGCATCAGCGAAGTTGAACCAGGGCAGTAAAGAGGGGGAATCATCCCAGCCTACACCCGCTGTCTGCAAGCGTGGGCAAGCCACTTGGCCTTCCTGGACGAACTTCCTCCTCTGTCACATGGATGTATGTGCCTTATAACAGGGCCTGGCTCACAAGGGTGTTGGGAGAGTTAACTGGGTTAATGTATATAAGCATTTAGACCAGAGCCTGGCAAAGGAAGAAGCCTCCAGCAGTGTCTTGGTGATTATTATGAAACAGATGGCCTAAGATCACATGGAGAAATAGGAACAAGATCAGGCCCTGCAGGACTCCTTTTCCCAGTCCCCAGAGTGCTGGGGCCCCAGCAACACCCCACCTAAAGGGCAGAGAGTTCAGCTGGCCTGGGGGATGGGCATGGAAGGAGGAGTCTTTGCCTTGAAGGGATGCCCACCCACAGCACCCTGACACCTTGCCTCTCTGCAGATTCTCCTTGTGGCCCTTTGCTCTCAAATGGTGCCCTCAAACTTGTGGGGTGTGTTAATCTTGAACAGTGAAGCTGGCTCCACCTCTGATAGTTGGAAAGGAAATAAGATAAGAGCACGCAGAGAGCTGGTCAGGAGGAACTACCAGGCTGGGGCTCTGGAAGCCCAGTAGGACCAAAAGACCTCTCCCCAGCCCAGGGCCAGCTGGGACATTCATTCATTTATTCACTCACTCAGGCATTCTCAAAAGCTATTTATTGAGCAACTACTTGGATAAGCGCGGGAGAAGCCAGCCTCTGGCCCGTGTGCAGACACCCCGATGTGTGCACCCACAGCCTCATCAGGACCCCAAGACCATCTGATGTGCAGCTGGTGGAGATCAATGAGGGCTGAGGGGATGGGGTGGGGGGAGGCTCCAGGAGGTCGGGGACAGGCAGCAGGCAGTGGGATCTCAGATTGTCCTGGGCTCCCCCAAGCCTCAGGTACGGTGGCGGGTCCTTTACAGAGGAGCCCTCTAGCTCATGGCTGTGGAAGAAAGGTGCTAGCATTTCTCTCCATCCCATTTTACAGGTGAGGAAGCTGAGACTCAAGTGTTCACATAACTTGCCCAAAGCCACCCAAACACAGACATGTGAAGGAGCAACAGTTTATCCCTCCACCTATTCCCTTTCCTCTACTTCTAAGCAAGAGGTGATGGAAGAAAAAGAGAAGGAAGGCGGTGGGGCTTCTCAGTACTTTTCTTCCCAGGGGAAGCCCTGTTGGCTAGAATGAGAAAATCCACACCTTCTCCAGGAACCACAGTCCTTTGCAGGGTGCAGTCCCAGGCTATCAACTAGAATTACGCTGGCAGGTGAGCCCCTTGCAGCTAGGGATCTCCAGGTAGGTGGGTTGGAGTGGTCAGGCCCGTGCTCCCAGAGAAGGCTCCTACTTCCTAAGCTTTAGAGTCTGCACAGCAATTATGCTGGCACCAGCCCAATGAAGCCCCATTTTTTAGAAGAGGAAACTGAGGTCCAGAAAAGCACAGCTCTGCTTCCAGCAGACAGAAGAGTGCCGTCCCCTCACTGCCCTTCAGGCCAGTGAACTCCTGTCCCAGTCCCATGGGGAGTCTTAGGGAGCACAGTTCTCATGCACCCTGGGACCCAACCAGATTGGTCCCTCTGGCTGCGTGGACTTGGCCTCCCACCTCCTCAGGGATTCTCAGGGAGCCCAGCAATTAGGGTGCTGTTTTGGTAGGGAGGTAGGGGCAGAAAACGTAAGCTTTTGGAGTCAGAGACCTTGGTTTGAATCGCAGCTCCCTGACTTCTGGCCGGTGAACTTGGTCAGTCACCCTAAGACTGCTCATGTATTCCTGCCACTCAGATTGCTCATGAGTCAGGAAAGAGAAGCCGTAATGGTCCCCACTGTGCCTGGCATCTAGGTGATGCCTAAGAAACTGTAGCCCATCCCTGCTTTGAGCAGCGTGGCCCCTCCAGTCTTTGGAAAACCCAACCCCCTGTCATCCCAGCTCTCATCCTAGGTAAACTTGCCTTCTCTGTGGGTCCAGAGAGGGCACAAAGGCTGCCCAGCCCTGGGTCTCGACCTCCTTACCTGGGCACAGAGAGAGCACAGGTTCCCAGCTCTGGAGGCAGCCAGCTCCTGGCAGCAGCTAGACAGGAGGCCCCGGGCAGGGAGAGGCAGGGGAGTGAGATTGAGGGAGGAAATAGCTGTCAGCCCTAGAGTGTGTGTGCATGTTCGGGCGTGGGGCGGGGTGGCGGGAGGCGGGGACAGCGGGACAGTGAGTTGACACACTGGAGTTCAAGTGACATTGATGTCGATCAGTGGAGAAGGGATGTAACTGTGGCAGCCCCTGCCTACTCACCACGCTCCCTTTACAAAGGAGACTGCAAAAGTAGGTGCATGGGGGCGGAGGAAGGTGCTTGGGTGCCTTTGAGGTGACCAGTGTGTAGGGGAAATGCATGAGAAAGAGGATGTCTTGTGCATCTGTCCACTGCCCTGGGCTGCCCACTCCTGACCCCACAATCCTCAGAGAAGAACCCCCTCCAGCTCCTGTGGGTACCCAGGCAGCATGGGTGCCCATGCAGCTCCTGCAACCCAGCTGGGACGTGAGCCACTTCCCCTTGCAGAACCCCAGTTTTACCACCTGTGACCAGAATGACAGGGTCTCCCTCACAGGCTATGACAAGAGGGTGCCCTCATTCCCAAATAGCGGGCACCCAGTGGGTGCTAGTAAAAATCAGTCTTTCCCCTCTGGGGGAAAAATGGGTGTAGGCAGTAGGGCAAGGGCATGCAGCTTTTATTTAAAATGGGCTCGAAGCCCCAGGATGAGATGATTGACTGATACCCATTTGCCTGAATCTGTTCCCTGAGCCTTGACTCCTCTTTGCTGACCAAGCTTCCTGGGGTGAGGGACCATTCTTGCAACCTCAACATCCCAGCAAGTAGGAGATGCTCAGTAAAACGTGTAAAGACTCAGTACCCCCACATCAGAGCAAGGGCACCCCCACCGTGGGATTGATTCTACAAGAATCTTCCATTTAAGCACAGCCTTAATACAGGGCCTGGTGCTCAGTACGCTTGCTGAGAGACTGTGATCCTGAATGAGAATAGGGTTCATATTCCTCAATGTAAGCCAAGGTGGCGGATCAGCCAGAGCCTTGATTATCCGAAATGTCTCCTTTCCTCTCAGTCATGGAGGGCTTGGTCTTCCAAAGACAAGTGCCTGCAGCCCTCCCTAGAAAATAGGTGGCTGTTTACTTTGCACTTTGGGGAAAATGCCTTCATCCCCACCACCCCCCACACCTGACCTGCTGGCCCACGGGTGTCCTCGACAGCCATACAGGCAGTGCGGTGTGGTAGGGACGTCCGGGGCCAGCCTGCCAGTGTTTGGATCCAGCAATGATATTCGCTAGCTATGCAAGTAACTTCACAGCAGTAAAACATAATATTTAAAAGGCATTCCTTCCTCACAGCCAAATGCCGGGGTTGGTGCACAAACTTTTCTTTGGTCTGAGAAAGAATCCCCCTTCCCTTCTATAGACACGACTTGGCACTGGGGCATTAGGCTTAAAGCAGGACACAGCCCTCCCTCTGGATCTTAGTGCTGCCATGTCCCCTCCACCAGGTACCCTTGTGCAGTGAACATCCTGCACAACCTCTCCTGGCAGCCCTGGTAAGGTACTTCTTACTGGAAACCCTCACTCCTCTGACCCATCCCCCAGCCCCTGTTTCCAATCCTGTAATCACTGTAGTGGCTCATCTCCCAACCCTCCCTTGAGGACAATTTATGAAAAGTTACTAAAATAAACAGAAAATGTACTCCAGATGAGCAGGGCCCTAAGGCATTTTCTAAAGAAAGAGGCAGTGATGTTTGTTCTTGCAGGGCCTTCAGCTGCACCCTCACAGCGGACACTGGGAACAGGCCTCCCCGCACGTACTCCAAGAGCCTGAGCCCCAGAGCGTCTGTGCAGAGGATGCCAGCGGTGGGAAGGGGCAGGTGGACAGGATGTGTGTCCTCTCCCGGGTTTTGGGAACCAAGAGCCAGCACCCGGCACTGTGGGAGGAAGAGCTGTGAGTAGAAGGGGCGGCAGGGCCCTGGGCAGGGGCTCACTGGCTGGCAACCAGGAACACGAGCCAGGCTGAGGCCAAGGAGAAGATCCATGCAGAGAACCTTGGTGGAGGCCCCTGCAGTGTCAGGCCGGTGCTGGGGACAGGAGGCCACAGGACTGTCAGATGGGCCCTCGGGGAGCTCCCACAGTGGGGAGCCTGGGGGGAGGAGGAGGAGGACAGTGCCTTTGGCCAGGGCCTAAAATGGGACAGAGCAGCAGTTCTCCACAGAGTGTACATCAGAACCTCCAGGAGGGCTTGTTAGACCCAGAGTGCTGGGCCGCACCCCCACCCCCAGAGGGGGCGAGCCAGCAGGTCCAGGGTGCAGCTGGGCCTTCGTGTTTCTGTCCAGCTCCCCAGGAGATGCCAGTGCTGAGCCACTGGAGGGACGGCGGGGTGCCTGGGTCTGGTGTGCTCGGAGCCAGCGGCAGCAGCTGAAGAGCAGAGGCTCTTAGCTGCCGGGCCTCGGTCCCTTGTGTGAGGGTCAGCGGAGATGATAAAGTGCTCGGCTCAGAACCTGCTGCAGTGAGGACACAAGGGCAGCCGCCATTATTTTTTATTCTTGTTGTCTACACTGATGCTGCTGTGAGGACATCAGTGGGGACGGTCCTTGGGCAGCACAGGGACAGGAGACATGCTTTGTTCCACTGCCAGTGCAGCCAGCCTACCTGAGGGCTGCCCGTTAAGGATCAACAGGAGGGGAATGGGTGCCCACAGGGCCACTGGAGCCTGGCTTCTCTGCACCCCTTCCCTGTGTCTCACTTCCCCATCCCCTGCCTGCCTCAGTGCCTTTGCACACACTGTGCTGCTGCCTGCAACACCTTTTTCCACATCCCTGCATAGGCTGCAGGACTCCTTTCCAAGATCATCAGTGTCTAGGCTCCCAAGAGGACACTCGTGGCTTCAAGTGTGTTTACCAAACAGTCAAGGGCACAGCCAATGTATCCTCCAGCCATGGGTCTTCTCCCCAGCTTTCTCCCGGTGCCCCTGCCTTAGGAAGTAGGTTTGCATGTTCCTTTCTGGCTGAAGTCAATCAGACAGGAAGTGAGACACACGGCAGGAAGCAGGTGAGACCAGCCCTGGAATCCTCCAGCCCCCTTACCTGGGCGGCACTGGAGTTGCTCAGACAGAGCAGGGAAGCAGCATCATAGGACCTGTGCGAGGGCCAGGTCGAGTTCCCTAGCAGCACCATCTCCACAGGAGAAGGCCTTGCTCCTCAGGTGGCCAACAGGCCCCTTAGTCATCTGGCCCCGCCCACACCCCCACCTTCATTTCTGCTACTCTCTAATCACTTCCTACCATCAGTCAGTGTTTATCATTACTTCCCCACACCCCACACATACCAGGTTGTTTCTAGGCCTTGCTTATGTTTGCTTCCTGCTCTAGAAAATCATTTCTTCCCTTGGCCTTTTGTTGAACTCCTATTTATCCTTCAGAACCCTGGCCAGAGGTTGCTTCCTCTGAGAAGCCTTTGCAGATCTTCTCAGGTAGACCGTACCTCCCCCTCGTCCCTCCCACATCTCTGCCTCACCCTGTATACTTCCACCTTCACTCTCCATGGTCATCTTTTTTCACACAACTGCTACCCATCATCATGAGCAGCTTGACAGACGGTTCCATTTTACTTTGTCTTTATTAAAGCCAAGCAGAGGGCCCGATGTGTGGGAGGGGTCCCAGGGAATGTTTGCTGACAGAATGTATCTCCAGTATTGGAGACCAGACCCACAAAGGCCCCCAGCTCATGACCCAGGATCTCTTCTTACCCGTCCATTACGCAGATGAGGAAATCAAGTCACCAAGCAGGTAAGTGACTTTTCCAAGGTCTCGAGTGGGTGAGTAGAGGAGCTGGGGTCCTTCCCAGGTTGATGAGCTCTGGGTCCTGGGAGTCTTTGCAACAATGTGGACTCACAGCCAGGGGCTCAGGGCTCGCCCTCTCCGTGACTGTTGGGTGCCGCTTTTCTCAGAGGTCTCCATCTTCCTGCCCATGGCCATGAGGAAGCTCCCTCGCTCTCTCCCTGCCCTTCTGGGGCCTTGGGAGACCCTCTGACCTCACAGGTAAGGTCCGTAATCAGTTAGGAAACACAACCTAGTATATTAGCTAATTCCATCCCCACCATAATCATAAGCATCCGCATTTTACAGATGGGGGACAGCGCCTCCACTCTGAGCAGCCGACACAGGATAGAATGCAGTCTCTCAGCATCTCAGGCCGGTTCCCTCTCTGCCACCTAACAGCCCCCATCAGGGAAGGCCCTATGTCATGATAGAGAGCAGGTCAGTGTGGAAGGAGTGAGGGAGACAGAGCCCCGTCACACCAGTGGGTGAATGTTCCCTGAGGAGCAGGATGATTACATACTAAGTATCTCTCATAAGATACTATTTACAAAGAGATACATAGTAACTTTCTAAGGGAGGCAATTAGCAGACCCCATTTTTCCAAAGTGATTGGATTTATATCAGCAGCAGGAGGACAAACCAGTGTGATGAGCCTCCTCACAGAACACTCCAAGGGCACATCACTCCGGGGGCTTCCTGCCTGCTAGGGGCTGAATTGTGCCCTGTCCACCCCCACTGACATGTTGACACCCTGACCCCCAGCACCTCAGAACGTGACTGCATTTGGAGGTAGGGCCTTTAAGAGGTGATTAAGTTAAAATGAGTCTTTAGGGATGGCCCTAATCCAATCCAATTGGTGTCCTAATAAGAGGAAATTTGGACCCACAAAGAGACACCAGGGATGTGTGTGCAGAGAGGAGAGGCCACGTGGGGACACAGTGAGAAGGTGGCTGCCTGCAAGCCAGGGAGAGAGGCTCAGAGGAAACCAGACCTGCCGACGCCTTGATCTTGGACTTCAGCCTCTGGAACTGTGAGAAAACAACTCCCTATCATTTAACCCAGTCTGTGGTGTTTTGTCATGGCAGCCTGCGCCGAGTAGTACACTGCCCAGGGCGCAGGAGCTGCGTCTTATTAGGAGGAAAGCCATACAAACCTGAATGACGGCCGTTCTGCAGAGTTGACTGGCCTGTACTCCTCAAAGATGCCAAGGGCACGAAGCACGGAGAATGACAGAGGGACCGTCCCAGGCTGGGGGGAACCTGAGCCTGGGTCGTGGTCTAGGAAAAACTTTTCCCTTCGCTATAAAAGTCATCTTTAGGACAACTGTGACCTGAATACGGTTTGGCGGTTAGACAGTTGTGCTATACCTGTGCTGATTTCCCGATTGTGATATTTTCCTGGGAGTACTTCTTTTTTTAGGAACTACACACTGTGGTATTTACAGACAAAGGGGAATCAATTGGTCTGCAACCAGTTCTCAAATGGTATGGACAGAAGTGTGTGTGTGTGTGTAATATCTACAGAGAAAGAGGGGCTAAAACAAAATAAAAAGGTGTTCACAGTGTTAAAAAAAATTCAACTGCATAAATTTTAAAGATCTTATTGGCTTTATTCAATGATTCATGAATCAAACAGCATCCAAACTAACAGAAAAGAGCTCCAAGGAGCTGTACAAAATGAAACTTTCATAGGCAGGAGGGAGCAGGAATAGAAAACTACACTAGCAAAAAAGTGGGTTGGTTACTGCCAGGTGACTTCCCTTAGGGGATGGCAGGGGTCTATCAGCAGATGGCCTACCTAGTCCTGACCGGGAGGTTCCTGAGCAACCGATCTAAGATTCGGTTTCTGGGAAAGCCCAAAAAACTGTAATGAGGTCTTAGTTTGGTGACGTGGCACCTTAGCATAAGCAACTTCATTTTGGAGGACTCTGGGTGAAGGGTATACGGACATTCTTTCCAGTAAGTCTGAAATCATTTCAAAATAAATTTTAAAACTCCCATTATCCCTCAGAAAATTTACTTCAGCCTCTCCTTCTCCAGGGACCCCAGCCTGTAGTCCACTGTTTCTGGCTCCTTCTATGCCTTTATCTCCCCTAATTCCTTCTGCCTCACACAATCCACTCCCCACCCCACCCCCCTCTTCCTGTGGGCTCCTCACAATTGTGCTCAGGCACCCTTTCCTGCAAAACTACTTCCACCCCTGCCCCCTCACCCCCACTGCTCCGGCTTGGTGCCTCAGCTCTATCTGCCCCTGGGGCCACCCCCGAGTTCCCAAATATGAGCTCAAGTGACAGTAAAAGTTAATCATTGCCAAGCATTACATCACTACCACACATAACTTATCACCCCGTTATTCCTCTCTTTCAGTCTTCCTGTTCCCCTGGGAGGTGAGCATTACCATCCTCAACCCACAGACGGGAAGCCTAAGCTTAGACAAATGACATGTCCCGGGTCACAGCTAGAAAGTGGTAGGGTCTGGATTGGAACCAGACTGCTAACCACGAAGCCACGTGTCTCCCGCTGCTGGGGTTCTTCCTAACATGCTTATGATACTCGTCGTCGTGAGTCTCACTCTGCCAGGCCGGGGCTCAGGGCTTCCAAGAAATGCGGGTGGCGATACCTCCCTCAGAGGACCCCAGTCATGACCTAGTTCAGCGAGGCCCTGGCACGTGCCTGGCACGTGGGAAGCCTGGCAGGCTGCAGCCAGGATCCTTGTGGTGGTTGACAGACTTTATTTCTTAGGTCTGGTCTAGATGTACAGAAAACCTGAGAAGATAGTACCAAGAGCTCCCCCACACTCTGCACCCAGTCTCCCCCATAATTAATATCTTATATTAGGATGGTATGTGGATGACTCTTAATGAACCAGTGTCAATACACTGTAATTAACTGAATCCGTTTCCTTCACTTTCCAGGATCCCACCCAGCAGGCTGCGTTACATTTATTTGTTCTTTCCTGTGGCTCACGTTAGTGACAGTTACAGCTCATGTAACTGCTTTAATTCTCAGGATTCAGGGAAGCCCTCTGGGGTGCACTAGTCCTTTTACACCCCTGCCTCCCCACCCCTCTGCAAGCTCCTAGGGCAGGGCAGGGCCGTGTGGGCTAGCTCTACTGACTGGGACCCAGGCCCTCAGCCCGCCGCGGTCTCACCCTCCTCCCCAGCCCAGCCTCAATCCCTCAGCTGAGCTGGGAGGCAGAAGTTAGGCCGAGGGGCAGGTCTCACCAGAGCCAGCAAGGGGCTCCTCTAGGTGGGACCCTTTGCTCTTAGAAGTCCACACTTGCTACCTCCCCATATCGGTAAGGCCTGGGCCCTCAGCTGGTGGGACCTGCGTGTGCCCGATGGCAGGAGCGTCCGCCATGGTCTGGGACACTGCACGGCTCTGCTGGTGGCCACTCCGGCTGGGGCAGCAGCCACAGCCTGAGGCTGGTCTCCCAGGCCTATGCACAGCTAGGACTGTGGGGTCAAGGGCATGAAGTTGCTGGTGGCTCCCCACCCTCCCCCTGCCAGGCCACACTGTCCCCTCAAGGTGGGGCATGAGGGTGGCTGAATCCACCCTTCCCCTGCAGCAGCGACAAGGAGAGCAGAGGCCTACCGCCTGAGGGTGGCGGCCCCACCCCTCACCACATGAGGAAGGAGGGAAGAAGGTAAGTGGCCAGTTCAATTTCCCTGGCACCCCAGGGTGGCTGCTCCCACGTCAGTGTGCATGGGGGGTCACCTGGCCGTGCTGCTGAGGTGCTGGTCCTGATTCGGTGGGGCCCGGGTTCTGCACGTAACCATGCCCAGCTGATGCTCAGGCTACGGGTCCGCAGGCGGCTCTGGGTAGCAGGGCCCTGGTGGGTGGGGCCTGCTAGGGAGAAAAGGGATGTGGGTTTGGAATGGGGATGTGAATCTGCAGCCTCAAAGCCGTGTGATCTTAAACGACTGACCTGACCTCTCTGAAACCGTGTTTCCTTATCTGTAAGGTGGGGAAAATGACCCCTACGTCCCCGTGTGGACTGAATAGGAGTGCAGGAGGTATGCCCACACCTGGAAGGTGCCCTGGATGTTCTGGGCTGACAAGTGGGTGAACCCTTACCAGGTGTCCCCACATGACTGCAACAGCCAAGCAACCTGGCAAACAGGCTGAGCTCTGCCTACAAAATCCCAGGTTCCAATCCTTGTTCGGTCTCTCACTGTGTGTGCCTGAGAAAGCCCACCCTCTGAGCCTCAGCTGACTCACCCACAAAATGTGGATAACTAAGTTTAAAAGAACTGCTGTAAGATACTCAACCCAGTGCCCGACACCCTACTTAGCTTTTCTCCACCATAAAGTCATCCCTGCTTGCTGCTGTGTGCTGTCAACAGGGAAGCATAGCTGCAAAAATCCTAAGACCAGCTGAAGCCATTTCCTCACAGATGTGAAAAATAACGCCAGAGAGGGGAAGAGGTTTGCCTGAGACCACACAGCAAGCTAGTGGCAAAGCTAAGGCTGGAACCCATGGTCTCCGCTGATTACAGAGGCTGCCATGTGCTGGAGAAGGTGAGGACCACACAGTGCTCTAGGGGGGAGCCCCATGACGGGGAGCCAGATTGACCTAACAGGCCAGAGAGGCCCCTTGTGGGCCAGGAGCGCAGGGGAGCCCGTGATCACTCAGTGAGCTGGGGAGTCCCAGGCCCAGGGCCTTCTGTAAGCCACCCACACAGCCAGCTCCCTTCTGGACACCCAGCTGCGCCCCGCTGCCCCCTCCTCTGCCTGGGATGCTGGGTGGCCTCACCTAGCTGCCCTCCTGTCTCCCTCTCACCTGAGGGTGTTTGTAGGAGCTGTGCTGCCTAATCGTCCTGCTGAGGCAGCATCAGCACTCTCATCTGTCCCTAACCCGGCTGCACCTGGGCTCGGGACTCCCACTGGGCCCCACCCATGGTGTTCTCACTTCCTACGCCTCATACTCATCCCCTCCACCCTGCCGCAGAGCACAGCTTCGTCCATCCGTCCCCTGCCACACCGTCCCTTGGACCTGGACCCACCCACCTCACCCCAGCGCAGCCCCGGTGGGGAGCACTGGGATTAACAGGCCAGCCTATATAGGTATGTAGGACTTCTCTGTGTGTATACATTCTGGGCCTGGGACCTTCTGGAGTATTGTATTGGCTGGCCCGATAGTCCTCTGCTGGGCTCAAGAAGCCACCTCCCTCCCTTTCCCAGGAAATCTCCTGCTCAGCTTGGCCCCTTCTCGTGTCCTCACCGCTCTATCCCCAACCCTAAGTACCCATCTGACCCTGGAGGCATGCTGGGTGGCCTCTGGGCGCATACATCCCCCGCATAGTGGGAAGTTCAGAGGAAACCTGTCAGCAGGCCTGCTGCTGCCTAGTACCAGAAAGGGTCCCTGTTACTATGGCAACACAGGTGCAACTTTCCATCCCAAACAAGGTCCCAGCCCCCTGGCCCCACCCCTGAAACTGCTGCACACCTGTTCTAGGAGAGCCTGACTCCCGTGTGGACTGCAGATGGGGTGACCTCATGCCGCAGCTGGCCTGATAACAATTGTCCCAGAGAACTATTAAGAATTCTACCTTCACATGTAGCCCTGCCTTTAGATCTTGAACATCCAGTTTAGATGACAAATTAAATAGTGATCCTATTTTTAGAGTAAAGGCCAACTTTTTGTTCCACGCATGAGAAAATCCGAGTCCATAAAGGGTTTGCACAAGGAAACACCGGCAGAGGTGGGAGTAAGAAAGAATTCGGGTCTCCCAACACCCAGGACGTTTAAATACTGATTGTCACCCAGCCCACCCCACCCCATTACTGTGCTGGATGGAAACTGTGTGGAAAATGGACGTTCCTATGGCCGGGATACTCACCTGACCCTTAATGACTTGATGATGTAATTGGCCTACTGATAGGCTCCTGCTTCCACACCTGCAGGCAATGAGCTGTTATTGACGGACTCACTATATAAAGAGCTCCGCCCAGTGGGCTGGGTGGAGATGGATTATGGACCTGCAGGCTGGTGGATGAAGATGTGATTCTAGCACTCGACCTACCACCATGAGAGGTAAGCCAGGTATAAACCCTTTTATCCCAAGAATGTCCCATTGTCATGTCTCGGTCTCAGAATCCAGAGTGTATTTGCCTGGGGCTGAAATCCTCAGGCAAGATAGACACTCAACTCCAAGGCCCTGATGAGCCTCTTTGATCTGCCCTTTCCCACAACTGTCCAGTGCCTCAGAAATGGCACTTCACCTGGTGTTCCGAGAAACAGCCTTGGTACACAGGGTCACGCTGGCCAACATCCACCTGGCCTTTGCCCTCACCAGAAAGACGGTGTCCTTTGTGGTCTTCTACTCCCCCTTGCCCAATGGGGCTCCTCCGTCCAGGTAGGAGTGGGGCCGTGGGCTGGCACCCAGGACTAGCCCCTGGGAGGGCCTCAACTGGCCCTCCTCCCACAGGTGGTTGGCAACCAGCTCCTCTGGGGGAACCATCTGTCTGGCCTTGATGTCCAAATGGGGTCCCAGGGCTCCACCATGCAGGAAGGTGCCTTCAGGTGATGGGGAGCCTCCCTTGAATAGGCTAGGCTGCAGGCTTGGTGTGACGGGGGCACAGGTGTGCCTGGAACAGACTTTGGGGCCATGTGGGTTCATGTCCAAAAGCTATTTCCCTGCTGTGTGACCGATTTAATTCCTCCCAGTGCCCCTCCCCCCCACCCCCATGGGGCAAAGGAGTTGCCTCTCCGTCAGGGTTGATGTGACATTGTATCCAATGCCTGCCCGGGCCGGGAAGGTAGCAGCCATGGTTCTTAGCCCTCTAAGAACCAAGCTCAGAAGCTAAGCAAGCAAGATGGAAGCTGCAAGCCTTGCTTTCCAGGCCCCTGGAAGAAGTTGAAGCCATGTGTACAGCTGTCTGTACCTCATCGCAGAGGTTAGGATGCCACAGAGTGGGCAGGAAATACCTGGGGCTGAGGCTCTCAGAGGGCGGGGTCAGCTGGGAAGTACCCAGCGGGACCCGCTGACTCACGTGCCCAGGAGACCAGTGGGGCTGCCCCAAAGGAATCTATGCTTATCACACCTGCCTTTGAACCCCAGGCACCAACCTCAGGGGTTTACCCTGTCAGAGCTACTACTTGTATAAT